CCATCCGGCCCCTATGAGAATAGGGGTGAATGGCAGCAGAGCATGTTCAGCTGACTGAAGGCAGCCGATGTATGCCTGAAATCAGCCGTGCAAGGCTCAAGTGAATAGCCAAACAGCATTCGGCTCACTTCACTTCGGCTGGGTTATTCCCTCGGTTGCCTTCGGCAGCTTTGTGAATAACCCTGATAATGTTTTGTGCATAAAAAGTGTAATTCCTTATGTACAAAACACTAATGGATTAAATGTCCATTACTGGACACTAGAGGTGCACCGAAATGGAAATTTCAAAACCGAAACAAAAAATTTTTTTATAAACTTTTTAATTTTTTTATATTTATTTTTATTTAATAATTCATTTTTGTATTAAATATTTTTTACCTTACTTTTAGGGGTTTCAGGGAAATATTAGGGGTCTAAACAGACGCCTGATATTTCCCTTTTAAAATAGAAAAAGAGATTGAGAACACAGAGTCCTCTATCTCTTTTTTTTTTATCCCCTGTTATCAATGAACAGGATTCCTCTATACTGAGTGTTCCTGATCATTCATCACATGAGGACAGAGTATGTTTACTATAACCACAATCATGAATGGACAGGAAGTCATGTAGAGGGGATGTAGATCACTTCCCATTCATTCATATAGTAACCATACCATGTCCTCAATTATTTACAAACACTCAGCGATCATTGACTGCTTGTACGCACTCTCCTCTCTGATTTGCTGTCACAGGAGGCAACGCGAGCGGTGTAGGGAGGAGAGCTCTGCTTCCTGTGACAGCGCGGCCTGTCTCCGCCCACACACCGCTCTGCCACACTGTGATAGGAGGCTGAGCGGTGTGGGAGGAGAGACGCCGGCCACTCACATCGCTCTCCTCCCGCAGCGCTCGGCCAGCTGTCACACTTTCTCTCCTCCCTGCTGGGACACAGAGCAGCGCCCAGCTGGGAGGAAAGAAAGCAGGGATGTGCCGATGTATCGGCAGAAAAATGTCACTTTCGGCATTTAGCCAAAAGTGCCATTGTCGGCCGATATGTTTCCGCAGCCAATATATCAGTGCATCCCTACTGCACACTAATAGAAGATAGCTTATAAAATGAACCCACTAAGGGATTTATTCTATAATCTGTCCGACTTACAGTGACACTAAAATTTCTAAATATTTCTAATACAGAGCATTGCAAATGTATTTACAAATAAATAAAGGCCATTTTTTAAAAAAATTGCATTTTTTAATGGGATGCTCCAAAATTAATGAACAAATTAACAATAAAAAAATATAAATGGTAAAAAAATTAAACATTAAGAGATCTTCTAAAAATAAAATGTAAGTAGAGAAGGAGAAAAGGGAATGAATGAGGGATAAATAGAGTTGACCAATGGGTAATAGAGGGTTAAACAGGAACAATATATTTTTTAAGAAATAAAAACTATTTTTATTTTTGCTTGTGAGAGTGCTTTAAATAATGCGATGTGTGGAGCAAAGGAAAGTCCTTCCATGATCACACATTTTACAGAGTAAATACATGTTGATTTCTACATGTGATCATTTCTGAAACGGCAGGTGAAGAATAAAACAAACCTTCTGAACCGATTGTCATGAATATAGTAAAAGACATTCTGATAATTACATTAAACCTACATCTCGGACATCGGGTACAATTTTGCAGAAATGAATGTGCAAAAGGCATTAGGCGTGTTCCTTACACACGTTCTTATTATCACTTTTATTATCAGTTTGAGTTCTTCATTTCCCTACAGCGGGTGGCGAGAATAGAACCACCATTTGTGTGACACATTTGAACCCATCACTAATTAATTCTTCAATCAAACAAGATATTTGTCAGGATACTGTGCAAGGGTGTCCCCACAGCGCATGCAGGTATCTATATGAACTTATAGTTTAATAGACATACCAAAATCATAAACATAAGCAATCCCACCAACATCCACCAGCAACATAAAATATCCAAACTAAATACAAATAGCAAAATCACAGACAGACAATAACAGGGCTAGTGAACCTGGGGAGCTACAGATCAGGAGACCTCAGGGGAAGGAGTCAGGGTCCAAGGAGGTAACAGGGTACAGGCAACAGGATTCAGGTATGGCAACAATACTGAGGCACCAGCCTCACTGTGAGGAGGGGCTAAATACCCTCTAAGGCTAGCACCAGGTGGAGACTGATTGCCGACAGCTGGGAGACACCCGCAGGTGAGCATCGGAATTGCAGGTTCCAGCACCACCCAATGGTGGTCTGGTACCTGACAGCTCCTGGCTGCCTGGAGACACCTGCAGGTGAGCACAGGAACTGCAGGACCTGGTTCCAGCGCCACCTCTGCTCCCTGCCCCACTGCTCCCTGACGCCCCGAGGCCTTCTGCGGAATCTGGCCCTGTTTATGATTATTGGATGTTCCATAGGTACATGTCCCTGCATGTCAGAAGTACCATGTAGACTCACAGCCTCCCATCTTTTAGCCCCCTACTCCTCTTTGTTAGGGCAATCAATGCTTACCCCTTATATTCTCACCCAGGCATGTTACACGCCTCTATGGTGTCCCAACTTACTCCTCTATTCTCAGTTGTTCATTATTTGATGCTGACGGCCTGAGTGTCGTACTATATACAATTCAAGCTACCCTTCCCAACTCGCCACTCTGGTCATTCTGTGCAGTCACATGCACCTCCTCGGGACCCCACACTCATTGCATATTTGTAATTTGGATTTGTCCCTCTTTGTATTTGCGGCATTATATTTATTTGTTATGTTGAACTCTTCTCTTTTTATGTATTGTCTTCAAATCTTAATAAAGAATTAAAGTTAAAAAAAGAGGGATTTTTGTAAGAGATAAAAAGATAATAATTTAATGTTATACATTTCTGGTTCAGTCTCACCATGTATACACTGTTTTATCACCATTCCTCATGAAAGATGTCCTCAAACTTGAGTTCAGAGAAGGGCAACAAAATGAATAAAGGGGATGGAAGGCCTGAGTTAGGAAGATAGCCTCAAGAAATGAAACTTGTTCTCCTTAGAGAAGCGACGCTTATGAGGGGACTTGACAGCAATTTTCAGAACCATTCATGGGGATCACAGTGTTGGAAATAAACTGTTTCATGTAAGAACTGTAAGGATGACACACGGCTACAACACGGGGCTGGATCAGAGGCGGTTTAACCTTAGATTGTGTAAGGGGATAGATATTTTACTGTGAAAGCAGAAACAATATGGAATTCCCTTCTGGAGAAAGTGGTGTCAGCTGAGAGCATTGATGACTTCAAGAAACTCTTAGGTGAGTGTTTCAGTTTACAGAATATACAGCGATATCGGAACTATTAGAGAATTCTATGAGAGACCTTATTAGAGACATCAAGTTTGATTTTTTACGGCTCCGGGCTTCTTTTCCTTCCACGATCATTGTTTGGTCGGATATAGTTGCTCGCTCTTCTTGGCGGTTGGCCCGCTCTGTGGCCAAACTTAACAAGGCCCGCGGCAAAGTTAACAAGGAGGTGCTTTGTTGTGCGCAATGGGGGCTTGGCTGTTCGCCATTGGAATTTGGAAAAGGACCCGGGCCTGTACTTACGAGGGGATGGTGTTCACCTCAATGCTGTGGGGATCGACATGTGGTCTTTGGGTCTTCAGGATGGCATACAGCGAGCTTATCGTTTGTGGTGGGGCACCCGAGACGCGAGGGGTCCCGTCTCTGGTGCTGTGGCAGGGTATTACGGTCCTTGAGGTGCAACATATTTGCTTGAGGTTTAAGTGACAGTGGGGAGCCATCTTTGGTATGGCATCCCTGTCTTAAGGGGTCCATCACTAGTTACTTAGTATCTGATGTAAGATTACAAGTCCCCGAGGCGGTGTTGTGCGGCTGGGGGCCGTGTGGGCAGATACTGGGTATTTTTGGTGATGGATATCACGTCAAGGACCTTAACTCCCGCGGTCAGTTAGTTTGTTACAATTTGTTACAATGGTTAAATTTGCCTTTGGCACTAAATAATAAAAATGGCTGCTGTGGCCACTAAAAATCCAAGACCTGTGTCGTGTCATTCATTAATAGAGTTATTATTGAATTTAGTTGTTGGAGGTTATTTGACCAACAGGAGCCGTATACAATGCCCTTGTCAAGCAGGATTAGGCCACGATTACTTTTCTTTGCTTACAAAATGAAGCACTCTTGCTTGCTTGTGGTCCATTCCCATCATACGGTATACCGGATAATCAGATAACTAAGATGAAGTCGGCATTGGAACAATTTTCAGCAGAATGTTTTTTTAAAGATAGCTATATATTAAAAGTGGTTAAAATTAATTTTTGAAAAAATTTAAATAATACGATTTACAGTTACATAAAAGTATAAAAGTATTGCTTTAGTTCTTGAAAATTATAAAACTGTCATATTAATTTCTAAATTGCTGGCACTGTCCTCCCTTCTGGAGGGGGCATACTTTTGTTCCCCCTTGTCCCCATGTGTGTTATAAAGTAGTCACCGCTCCAAGCTCGCTCCCGGGATGGACTACAATCCCAATACAAATTAGTAAACTGAGATTGTATGAGGTATGAGGATCACTATCAGCTCCTATGGAGAAGCCTTTGTGAACATTTACTGGGGGAGAGTATAACATTAGAAATATTTACAAAGGGTTAATGATATTGTTGTTTTACATGTAACTAAATTATAAATTTAAATGAAGAATAAAAATATTATAATCCATTTGATAAAATTATAAATTAAATACATTTCTCCTCATGCAAGATGAGTTTTTGTCATCAGAGTGTCGTCAGTTTTGGGTTTGTAAGATCAGAGATATAGTATATTGCATCATCAAGTACCAAGAAATATTCTCCTACAAGTATTTATGTCTTATGTGTTTGAAATGACAAATTTCTCCTTTCAGATACGGATTTGTACAAATGCTGTGACATTTAGAGCATTATACGCGCTCTATAATATATCTTTTCACTTTTTTTTTATAAAAAATACAATAGTAAAGCAATATCCCATGGAAAGCAATACATCTGTGCTAGAATTCCACATTTTGCCATTCTTCATAAAAGCTGACAATAAACTCTTCATATTCAGCATTGTCTTCTTTTTCTTAATCTATTTCTTTGGAATTTTGGTAAACTTCATTATTATTACAGTGATATTCGTGGATCCCCATTTGCACACCCCGATGTATCTATTTCTCTGTAACCTGTCCATTATTGATATATGTTATACAACTATAATTGTTCCAAAACTCCTCTACATCTTACTCTCTGGGAATAACACCGTGTCCTTCACACAATGCTTCATCCAGATGTATTTTGTCTATCTTGCAAGCACTACTGAGATCACAGTTATATTTATAATGGCCTATGATCGATATGTTGCGATTTGTCACCCGTTACACTATCACCGTATACTTAACAAGAAAATCAGCATAATATTAATTATGATCACCTGGATTTGTGGTTTTTTAAATTCATTGTTATTTACAAGTTCTATCTTAAAAATGTTCTTCTGTTCTTCTTCTACTATTCATCAGATCTTCTGTGATTCTAAAGCTCTGCTCAACATTGCCTGCAGTGGTACTGAATTGTTTTACATTGTCTTGTATACAGAGTGTTTTATATTTGGGCTTTGTCCAGTTATATGCAACTTGATGTCATATGTACAGATTATCAGAGTCATACTACGTATTAAATCTAAGGATGGCAGAAAAAAGGCCTTCTCCACCTGTTCATCCCACCTAATGGTTATGGTCATCTACTATGGATCTTGTGTAGCTGTGTATTTGATACCAGGTTCAGATCGCTATGCTCTACTTGAACAGATCTTTACAGTGCTCTTCTCCACAGTGGTCCCCATGCTGAACCCTCTCATATACAGTCTACGAAACAATGAAATAAAGAATTCATTGTGGAAATTGTTGGCATAGTCTTGTCAAGACAATATTTATTACAAGCCTTGAGATATGTGTTTTATATAAATTTGTGTTCATATGTTGGTGGTGGTACTCTGGCCTGTATCCAAAGAACTATGTTTGGTATGATGCAGAGTACAAGCTTGACTTCTATGAAAGGCCTTACTATGATCTTTTATTCGTGTATGTACTTTAGACTAGGTCATGAATGGCTGTCTGGAATAAACAGGAATCACATATATCACATATATCACATACATCTCTCTTCCACTTAGCAAATTTCACTGAAGGCATGTACTGTACATCTCTTCCATCACCACTTTCCAGTTGCCAAAGTTCTGCTCTGCATTTCGTGAGGTGGCACAGATATGTTTTACATTGTTGTGTATGTAAACTGTTTTGGTATTAGGTGTGGATTGTACAGATTTTAGGGTCATACTCCCTATTAACTCTAAGGAGGGCCAAACAAATGCCTTCCCCACCTACTTATCCCAGCTCACTGACATGGTCATCTTCTATGGTTCTGGTGTATCAGTGTACACGATACCCCCATCTGAACGTCCTAATATATTGGAAGAAATCTTTGTTTTATTCATCGGTGACTTCCATGATAAACCCTTTCATATACAGTCTACACAACAATAACATGAAGAGTTATTTGCAGTTAAGAATAACTACTGTTCTTATAGGGTTAGAAAGCAGTAGATATAATCAAAAACGTTAAAAAAATACCCTTTTGAAACAGGTTTAAACTTATCTGCGTCTTCGCCGCACGCTCTTGTCCGAACATCTGAAGAGTTTCGGGCGGCCACAACAGATCTTGGGGCGGGCGCATGCGCAGTTCAGATGTTCGGCCGGGAGACACAAGGTAAGTCTATGGAGCAGCGTGCACCCGCACAGACACCGTGGGACATGAGAGAAGAGGAGGACAGAGGAGTCAGTGCTGGATTGGAGACCCGCACCCAGCGCTGGAGGGACAGCTGAAAAGGACAGGAAAGAAGAAGATGGTCGGATTAAGAGACATCATTTAAGGTAAGTCCTGACACTAACATTGGGTGGGGAAAATTCCAAAATTTCAAAATTTATTATAGTAACAAAAACAGCACACATAGTACAGAACCGCTAATGATCTTCAGTCATCAAGGGCCTCAGTCATAGCCAAAGATAGGAAAAAAGCTGAAATCTCCTCAGTGGTGACATAGACTAAGGATGCCAGGTTTTCAAAATTAAATCTGGGGACACCCGACTGACCACACCCCATTTATAACCACATTCACAAACCACACCCCCATTTGTGACCACACCCACAAACCATGCCCCCATGTTTAACACACCCTCAAACAATTGGTTACAGACTTTAAGAACAGTTGGCAGACATTAAAGGTTTAAAGACAAAACAAGTCGATTTTAAAGAAAAAGAGCCAAGATGTGCATTCATAGTTTGGAGGGACACCTTCTGAACAATTAGTGGCATGGCCTATAAAGTGTGTGTGCTTTCATGGAGCATGACTTGTTAAAAAAAATGTTCAACAAATTTTATTGAAAATGAAAGTTTTTGATACATACATAACCAGCATTCTCCAAAAGAACAACAGTGTAGATACAGAGTTCAGTATTCAGGCATACTTGTAGTAACCACATCTCATGGTAGGATGCAAGCGGCGTCTGAAGAATATAAACACATCGACAAAGCAAAGCAGACTAGAAAAAGGGAAGTGTAAAGTCTTAGGAAAGATGATGCTGATCTAAAGGAGATCAGATCGGAGGACAGTTATAAACGGGTCGGAGTATCTGCTGCGATAAAAAAATATAAATTTATTGAACACAGTTTACACACAAGTTGACAGCATAGACCATCAAAACATCACCTGAAAAATTCCCTATTAAACTTGATTGTACAATCAAATCATCACTCACTTCATACATACACTGACTATAGGAAGAACTGATCAGTTTTGAAATGTAAGCCGGTGGAGCCTTAAATGCTGTACTGACAATGTTTCTTATGTGCTCAGAAACATTGTTGCGATCATCTCTAGAATGAACATCAGTTAGTTTGCTGATTTGAAAGTTCTTGTTTGGCTAGTGTTATTCTTTCAATAGCATTGGGCAGACGGAAGGCGGCGCTCGCTACATAAAAGGGATATTGTCATGTAAGCTTTGATTGTAATATCAGACACAGCTCCAGTATGTATTCCTATTACAATACTGATATCCAGGGGCGTAACTAGAAATCACAGGGCCCCGTAGCAAAATTTTGTATGGGGCCCCTTTGATCTCTAGTTACACCCCTTGCAGAGCCCAATTGAGATCCCACACAGCCCACCTGAGGGTGACCCTGCAGAGCCCACCATAGACTCTCTAAGGTGGGCTCTGCATGGTTACCCTCAGGTGGGCTGGTCACACTCCTTACCTGTCCGCCTCCTCTTCCTCCACCATTGGTGATGAGCTGCAGTGATCTGTGTCATCCCCCTTACAGCAGCTGGCAGCAATAGCGAGCCTGTTATTGGCTCTTTTAAATTGCAGTAGCCAATAACAGGCTGGCTATTGCACCCGTCCACTGCCTGCTGTCAATCAGCAGAAGAGGACCTGATGGAGAACATTCTCCTTCAGGTCCCTCCTCTGCTGATTGACAGCAGGCAGTGGGTGGGTGCAATAGCCAGCCTCTTATTGGCTACTGCAATCTGAAATATCCAATAGCAGGCTGGCTATCGCTCCCAGCAATAAAGTAAAAAAAATGAAAAAAGTTTTTAAAAAAAAGTTAAATGAAACTAAAATGGAAAATGCAAAAAATTGTAAAAGTTAAATAAATAAAAAGCAGCTATTAAACTTCCCTTAGCATTATCGGCTTTTTTCCCCATACGTAATGGTACCCGACAGAGATGCCCTCTATACCCCCTGCTATTTACTCTATGTATAGAATCATTAGCCAACCATATCAGGAATTCACCAGATATTTCAGGAGTACAAGTAAGAGAACAAGCCTTTAAAATTTCACTTTTTGCAGACGACATTTTACTGACACTGACTAAACCTCTTATTTCCTTACCAAACTTACATAGGGAACTGGCTAACTACTCGTCCATATCAGGGTATAAATTTAATCTGAGTAAATCCGAGGCTTTGGCAATTCATATCCCACAGAAAACACTGTCTTTTCTACAGTCCTCCTTTGAGTACAACTGGAAAGTGGATAAACTGAAATATTTAGGTATCTATCTCACCCCTCAGGTGGCCTCTCTATATACAACCAACTTTACTCCACTATACCGGGAAATTAGAGAGCTCCTTCGGAGATGGAGCACATATCGTTTATCCTGGACAGGTAAAATGACATCAATTAAAATGATGATATTGCCAAAATTGCTTTATCACTTTGGGACACTACCTATTAAAATACAAGACCTTAAAACCTTACAACGCTTACTTCTCCAATTTACATGCAACAATACTGCCCATAGAGTTGCCAGGACAGTGATAACATCATGTAGATCACAGGGTGGACTGGCTTTTCCAGACGTAGTAAAATACTATACAGGTATTCCTCACTTAACGACCGAGTTCCGTTCCTACGACCAGGTCGTTAAACGGATTGGTCGTTAAGTGAGGAACTCTATACAGTACTGTACTGCATTAGTACAGTACTGTATAGCGTTGCCGATGTACAGTAACGAACAGTGTACTGTACATCGGGCAATGAAAATACTTACCAGGACCCGCAATGAAGATCGGAGGACACCACTTCCGCCGGCGACACGGCGCACTGACGCTGACGCGCAAGGTCGGAGGTCGATCGGCGCTCCGTCGTAAGTGCGAGTGGTCGCAAAACAGGTAAGTCGGTAAGTGAGGAACATCTGTACAGCAACCCACCTGCGCCATATAGCATCCTGGACTTCCTTACATCCCCCTAACAGATGGGGAGAAATAGAAAATCTCTGGATCGCACCACTACATTTAAACGGTCTCTTATTACCTAAATTACAGGCTACACATGTCCCCCCGCTTCTATCCACAATGCAACATACTAAAGATATATGGCACTCTGTAGGGATCAAATTTAACCTTACTTCGACTACTACTTCGATGAGATCATTTATATACACACCCCTTCTCCCGGCTACATTAAACCGCTATACAGCCCGCCCATGGTTAGATCAATCCCTTTTCCAATTCAACGATATAATCCACAAAGTAGATAGGACTTTATTGCCCTTTCCGAATCTACAAACAGATTTTAATTTACCAACTAGATCTCTCTTTACATATCTTCAGATCAAACATTTTGCATATACAATCTCCCCGTCACTTACGTTCTCACCTTTAACAACATTCGAAAAAATGTGTTTAGAAGGACCTACTCGTAAACACCTGATAGCAGATATTTACAAATTACTCAACTGGATTTGCAATATACCTTTTCCAAAACACAACTACATGTGTAGATTGGAGAGAGCTCTAGGTCAAATATTAGACAAGGAGGAATGGGAGAAAATCTGGATTAACGCCAGTAAGATTTCTATCAGTACTTTATATCAGGAAAATCAGTACAAAATTCTTTACCACTGGTATCGCACCCCAGACTTGCTAAACCGCATGAATCCTTCGCAACCTTCGGAATGTTGGAGATGCTGGACCTCAAAGGGCAGTATACGCCACATATTTTGGGAATGTCCTAAGATAAGGCCCTTCTGGAACTATATATTTACGTTACTTCAAAAAAATGGTTGATCACACTATACCGGATGATAGTGCGAAGGATCCATGAAATTCATAATATGGAATATCTAACAGCTCGAATACATAATAAGATCCGTGAATTTCATTTGGTGTGGTCCCCGTGGCAAACATTTGACAATACCAATGGCAATGTCTTGCTCTTACATGAAATACCATCTCCCGTGAACCAGAGATAAGATCCGTTCCTTACCCTTCTTCTATCTTTCTTATTTTATTTTTATTTTTATTAACTAGATAAATATAAGTCTTATGATGGCTTAATTGCTTTCCAACTAATG